GGATGCTTAGGGTTCAGGGGTGGTGAAGACAAGGATGACTGAAATTCTGCTCGCAAGCAATACTGGGTTCAGTTACGAGTTCCTCTATATTCCAGACCAGAGATACAAATGCAAGATGCTACACCAGCAATCAACGCAAGCGCTCTGTAGTCGGTTGACTATCTCTTGCTTCTTGAAAAAAATATTTTCCACTTGGACTCGTTTGACCGCAGCTGATTTGAACAATGCAAGAAAACACAGAGGCTGATAAAAGCAACTTGATGTGCTCAGTTGATATGAATCAAACGCGCCGTTCGCTTACCGTTCGACGAAGGCCGAATGCCTGGCTGAAAGGATCACCGATCCGACTTGTTTTTCTGAATGCAATGGTACAGCTTCTTCAGCCTTGTTTGTCCCATTCCTGCATTCAATGGCTTTTAAAATACGCGCTCTCACAGTCTTTAAGGATTTTATAGGATCTGAATGAGGACCCGGAAGTCGCTTTGACCTTTTCTCTTCACCGACCGTACGATTCAGAAGGTCCTCAATCAGCTGCAGCGGAGTTTTCCCCAGACCATTCGATACCACAGGATTCGCACCACGTGACAGAAGCAGCTCACAACAACTGGCTTGCCCATTTTGGATGGCGTCATGTAATGGTGTGTCCAAATCTGGACCTCCAGGTATATCGACCGTCGCACCTGCATCAATGAGAGCCTCTGCAATCTGTGAAAGGTGCAAACAATTGGTTTGACCAAGGGTTATAAAAACATTCACAAGTAAACGAGAGTAAATATGATTAAAAAACGCCCCAAACCGCGATATATTTAGAAGGTAACAAATACGCAACATTCGATAAAGAGGATACTCAGTTTGAATCTAAGTCAACTCTGTCACATTCACTCTGGTGGTGGCTACAAATATGAAGCAGTGATGCTTGGTGAATCCAGGTTATACGGGCTGTCACTGTGGTGACGTTGTCATTCAAAGAAATTTGAACACAATGACAGTGTTCCAGCGTCTGGTAAATGGAACTCATCAATCACAACGCGAAAGATATGTTTAAACCGTCAAAAACCAGTACCTTCTTGTGTAAAAAAACTAAAAATTAAAATTACGGAGACACTGAACTACACAGTCAGTGGCTTGGAAGGTGAACTCCAAAACGAATGTCAGGTGTTTATATGGAATTTTTAAAGTCAAAACAGC